TACAAATAGAAAACTTACATTAACATCATTTTTCAACATAGTCCCCTTGCTTTTCAACGCACTTGGTCCATTGTTGCACAAGCTTCCTGATGCTCTCAGAAAAGAAGGTCTTTGGCTGAGCAGCGAGCCACGCATGCACCGCTTCCTTCACTTCTTGGTCCGAGGTGAATCGATGGTCCTTTAATGCCTCTTTGAGTGGACCAAACAAGTTGTAGTTACAAGGGGCGAGATCAGGACTATATGAAGGATGAGCCATTACATCAAACTTGAGTTTCTGGAGGGTTTCAGCAGTGTGGGCAGCAGTATGTGGACAGGCATTGTTGTGCAACAACACAACACTTTTCGACAGTAGTCCTCGGCGTTTGCTTCGAATTGCAGGCTTTAGCCTGTCAGTAAGCGTCTCACTGTAACGAGCACTGATTATTGTTGTGCCCCTCTCCTGCTAATCTTCCAGTACTGGGCCTTGTGAGTCCCAAAAAACTGTAAGCATCAGTTTTCCTGTGGATAGTTGGCTTTTGAACTTTTTCTTGCTGGGCGATTGTGGATGTTTCCATTCCATACTCTGCCGTTTACTCTCCAGCTCGCAATGATGGATCCATGTTTCGTCACCAGTGATGATTCTGCCTAAGAAGACAGACATTACCATAGTGATCCAAATGTTGTTGGCAGATGTCCAAGCTCGTTTGTTTATGCAACACTGTGAGTTGTTTTGGGACCCATCTTGCACAGACTTTATGAAACCCAAGTCTGTTGTGGATGATTTCATAGGCAGAACCATGACTAATTTTCAGGCGATTTGCCACTTCATCAATAGTCACTCGTCTGTCTAACAGAACCATGTAACGTGCATGCTCAGTGTTGTCCTCATTTGTGGCCGTGGATGGTCGTCCAGCTNATTATTGTTGTGCCCCTCACCTGATAATCTTCCAGTACTGGGCCTTGTGAGTCCCAAAAAACTAAGCATCAGTTTTCCTGTGGATAGTTGGCTTTTGAACTTTTTCTTGCTGGGCGATTGTGGATGTTTCCATTCCATACTCTGCCATTTACTCTCCAGCTCGCAATGATGGATCCATGTTTCGTCACCAGTGATGATTCTGTCTAAGAAGACAGACATTACCATAGTGATCCAGATGTTGTTGGCAGATGTCCAAGCTCGTTTGTTTATGCAACACTGTGAGTTGTTTTGGGACCCATCTTGCACAGACTTTATGAAACCCAAGTCTGTTGTGGATGATTTCATAGGCAGAACCATGACTAATTTTCAGACGATTTGCCACTTCATCAATAGTCACTCGTCTGTCTAACGGAACCATGTAATGTGCACGCTCAGTGTTGTCCTCATTTGTGGCCGTGGATGGTCGTCCAGCTCCTTCCTCATGTGTAACACTTATGCGACCATTTTTTAATTTTTCAATCCATTTGTAGACGCTCTATTGCAGCAAAACACTGTTCCCGTATTGTGCTGAAAGTCTTTGATGGATTGCGGCCCCTGATTCACCTTCCGACCACAAAAACCGGATCACTGAACGTTGCTCTTCTTTGGTGCAAACAGAAAGCGGAGCAGCCATGATTAACGGCAAGCCAGCAACGATGGAACTGACCTAGCAACATCAAACCTGCGCAGAAATAATGACAAGGAAACCACGCATGGCGATGCTGCACAAACGACAGTGCTGCCAACAGAAACACAAATACAACTTCATTGTGGATAATTATTGACTTCCTCTTGTATATTCATTAATAAACTTCATTACAAATAACGAAGAACATTTTCAGATGAATGCGGATGTACACAGTGTTAACACAAAACACAAACACTGTCTTCATAAACCAATTGCTAACTTCTCGTGTTTTCAGAAATGCGCATATTATGCTGGGATCAAAATTTTTAATAACCTGCCATCTGATCTAAAAGGTCTTATGAATGAAAAGGCACGATTTAAAATAGCACTGAAACGATACTTCAATACACATTCATTCTACTCTGTTGATGAATATCTATTGTCTAGAAAATAGCTTGTGTATCTTTAAGTAGCCTTGTGTGTGGTCACTGTGTAATCTTGGTTTCTCTTGTGTGAGAACTCCATTGGGACTGCACATATGTTTTGTATTTATATGATATATTCCACATCCTACAGTCATTTTGACTAACTTTGGATCCATAGAATGCAATGTAATGTAATTAAAGCATGAGTACACACAGACTAGACATGACACACAGAGACAAAAGACTTCTTGTTCATTCATGACCTACAACGTAATATACAACATATTAGCATGTGACTTTTTTTTTTTATTGCTAGTGGGTTGGGACTAAGTCCCTTGTACTGCGGCCACTTCTGGCCTATTGTACCAGCCCCACATGATAGGTGAGGGTGATTGTGGAGCAATTGGTGGAATGAAGATTGACAGGGGAAACCGAAGTACTCGGATAAAACCTGCCCCAGCGCCACTTTGTCCAGCATAAATCCCACTTGACCAGACCCCAGGATCGAACCCGGGCCGCCACAATGGGAAGCCAGCAACTAACTGCTTGAGCTATGGCGCGGCCTTGGCAGTTCATTGCTTTGGTAGCCTGAAATTGCATAATGACTATGATAAATCTCATGTTTACCAAACCTATTTATAGAATGGTAAGTGGATGGGGTAACCAATATGTGCTACCTCACAGTCACTACCTGTCTCACTAGGTTTGTGTCTTAGTGAAAACTGAGAACAGCTTAATTTTGTTGTGTGTGTGTGAGATTCTAAAAAGGACATCACTCTTTTTCTCTTCTGGGTGATTATTATACTGAACTAAGTATTGTTCATGACTGAACCCTGTGTTCAGATGTCCACTGTTTAGAACAAACAGGAATCAAGATTTCATACATTTAACAGCCATAACTCTAAAAAATTGTACCCTTTCATTTAGTTTAAAAGTTGTCAGTTGCTTTGAGAATAAACTGATTTTAATAACTGTCATCAGGAATCAAACACTGAATAGTTTATGTTTATCCTACAAACAAGTACAGTAAATCAGTGTCTATTGCAGATTTTCTTATACATGCAAAAACAAATACAGTTATTTGCGAATGTGGAAAATTTGAGTATATGCAGTCTGCCCCTGGCCACAATCCAGAAACACTGACATTCAGTCATTATAATTTTGAGATAATTTTCTTCCTTTTGGACACAATGTAGGTCCTGCAACCTATGGACCAAGGAGTTATCAATGCATATAAGTCTTATTACACTCAAAATATATGCAGGCATGGGATTCATGTTGTAGATTCTGGTGCTTTTATTAATTTAAAACAGAATAGATAGGAGCATTCAGTAGATGTTAATGTGATGCTTTTTGTGACTGTGTTCATATATCCCAACTTAATCGATAAGGGAATAATTTTGCCCACTGTGAATTTGCCTAACAGATAATTCTGAAGGAGCCTAATCCCTGTGCTGGATTAAACTTTGCAGTATAACAAATTCCTGTAGCAAGGCATGTGTATGCAGTCTTAGGCTTAACACCACGCCACACATTTTAAAACTGCTTTTCATGATCTCATTGAGCATTTAATTTGTGGTAACAGGGTTAGAATTTTGTGGGTGTTGAGTTAAGGGCCTGGATTTAAGGTATATGGAAGCATACTTTCTGCAATTGCTTTTAAGTTAAAAATTCAGATTTTCCATTACTCTTCTTTTCTTCCCCGGAATGATGATCCAGCTTACTACACTTGACGGCATCAGTCAACTAGTGCTACCTGTCCTTCAAGAGGATTCAAGGCCTTCTAGCCAGTTCGCAATTAATCAAGGTAACATTGCTGTATGGACTTTCCAGATCTCTGCAAGTGGATACAATTTTTAAGTAAATATCAGAAAACTTTATTTTTAAAGTTAAAAAAATTTGTTTTCAGGTTTATGTCATTCCATACTACCTCATCAGCAGCAAAGTCCAAACAATCATAGTCTTAGTAATCTTAGTAATCGACCATTCCGACACAGAGTGCTCTGGAATCATGATCAAATCCTGCAGCTGGAGTCATGGTACCTTGCAGACCGGTATCCTACTGGCCAAGCAATGCGCCATTATGCAGATGCTCTAGCATCCATGTGTCCAACTGGTGCAAGTCCCACTCGTCAGAATGTTGACTATTGGTTCCAGAATCGACGACGAAAAGACAGTCACCCAGAAGTATTGCAACAGCGAGAAAAAAAGAAATTGGCAAAGACATTGTGGGGCAATATCCTTGATCAAAGGGCAGGGCATAGTGGATCATGATAAGTGTGTTTAAATGTATCTATTTATGTTCCCTTGATATAATGATTGTTCAAATATATGTGTTGGAAAGGATCCCACTTTTAACTCTGTAGAAAAGGAGAAATTCTATACTCATTGTATGCAAATTGAAGGCTCAGATTTCATATTATAGTAAACTTAACAAGATAGCTGTTTGGGTTAGAAAAGAAAGTGTTATGTAGTAAATCCAAATTAAAAAAATAGATCAACCATTTTCTCCTTGCAGCTCCTTCTTTACTTACTCACATACATAGTATGTATGAGGTAGAATTATGGTGGTGAAAGAAATAAACCTCAAGATTTTTATGGATATGTACGTGTTGATTCCTCCTGAATATGAGAAATATTTTTTGGAATGCTGTTTGTATGTGGATGTGTGCCTCACTGCCACTTGAACAGTTGCACATATTGAATATCATTTTGGTTTTATTTTAGACAGGAATATGGCTGAACAGTATCTTATATATTCTTTTAAGTTGAAATCACAAGATTTTACATGTTTCTGGAGCCTTTATTTGTAGTTGATCACGATTGGCCGCATGAAATAGTTATTAATGTTATGATTGGTAAAGTCGTTCGTGTATTATATTTTTTATTTACACATTGGTTATAGCCATAACGCAGTATTTAGCTTATATGATTCCATATGTATATGTATATACTGATTTAGTAAAATCTTACATGTTGTATTGTAGCACACTGTTGCACTGTATCTTCTTATTATTCATGTATTATCTGCTGTCTCACATACAACTCACACTAAAAGTTCCAAAATGTTCTAAATTTTTACAAGGTGTATGTTTTTATTTAACACATCCATTGCACAACATCTGCACATGGCGTAACAGAAGGAAATACACTCATCACCACAAAAATATACCATTCTACAATGCAAGTTGCACATAAGTGAAATTATACTTCAGATTTTTAAATTTAAATCATAAAATTAAGAAACTGTATCAACAAGCTTTATGACAATGTACAGAAGTGCAGCAATTTCTCCAACAATTTTAATGCATCTGATGATTACCAAATAGGCTGAAACATGTTGTGCAGTAGATGTGTTAAATAAAGACATGCAACCTGAAACAGGTGAAAGTTTTAATAATTTTAAATTCTGAATTTTAAAACTTTTAGTGTGAGTTGCACGTGAGATGGTGGGGAATATATTTATAAAAAATCTTATGTGTATTTGTGCAATGTAAAAAATAGGCAGTGCAATACCCAGTTTTCGGTTTTGGATAAAAAATTACCCTTTTTAGGTTCATAAATACATTTTTTTGTGTTTAAGATAAAAATTATCATTTTTAGTGTGTAAATAAATTGAACACTGATTGACAAGGGGCAAGAAAACAATCAAGGATCAAGAAGCTCTGTCTAATTGAATTTCTGTATTATAATCATATTTAGGTTACAGTGGGACAATGTTCTTGGATTGAAATCCACTGCTCTCCAAGGATACCTTAAATGAGGGTTTCACTGTAGTTGATAACAGTTAACAAAAAATATACTTAAAAAACTCTTTTGTACAGTAATAGAAAATATCCTATAATTATTCTGTAGTTGCATTAAGCTATTGTTAAATGTACTGTTTCGAGAACAACTATAGCATTGTCTCTAGATAGCTGAGACTTGTTCCCATCTTTGGTGTTCCTGATTGCCAGGCCTACTTGCAGATGTTTAGGCCTATTGAACCTAATGCAAAACACGGTTTGATGTAAACATGAATCCCAGGCATAAGCGTGTTGAATGATAGATTTGTGTCATGAGTCACCTTACTGGACGTGACATGCTCGCTGTGTCGTAAGGGTAAAGATTACGTTGACCTATGTTACATATCCAGTGTAGCATGTCAATTATAAAATAAATTTTGGGATAGTGTTGAATATTCACATGTTAGTGTAAGATAAACCTCCTTTTTAAAGTAGTGAAAGATATGGGTTTTAAGATAGGTTTGTACAGATTAATGAAAAAGGATATAAGCAGCAGTGTAAAAGAGTATTCTAGAAATGGAACTGTAACAGTGTGTCAGTTTTTGTTTTGTATTTCAGTGCATACGAATTGAAATGTAGTTTGTGAATATCTTCTTCAGCAGTGCTTGTAGAATATTAATGAATTGAATAGACATGTTTCTGTAATTTAAATACATGGCAAGACACTAAAAATTTTACGCAGTTATTTCTGTGAGACATATTCCAAGAGTTCATAAGGGCCCTTTGCTGCATCTCTTTTCTTTTATCTTATTCATTCATTCATCTGTAATCTGTCAAGACGACAGGTCCACAGTCTCTTCCAAAACAGTTCCTCCACTTGATGCGATCTAGAGCTTTCTCCTTCAAATGAAAATATCCTCTTCTGTCCCCAAGGTCATCCAGCATCTTCTTACATCTTCTTCCTCGTCTGCTGGTCACTTTTATCTGCCCCTCTATCTTTCCTTCAATAACCTCTTTTAGAAGGCAGTTACCGTGTAAGATATGACCAGTCCAATTAGCTTTCTGTTTTCTTTTTTTGTGTAGGATATACCTCTGCTCACTGACTATAAATAACACTTCTTCATTTCTCACATAATCAGTCCAACTGATCTTCTCCACCCTTCTCCAACACATTTCGAAGCTTTCCAGGTGTTTCTGATCTAGTGCCCTAAGTGTCCAAGTTTCAGCCCCATACAAAGCGTTGCTCCAAATGTAGCATTTCACTAGTTTCTTTCTCAAATTTAAGTCCAATTTGCTGGTAAAAAGATTCTTCTTGCTAAATGCAGCTTTTGCCATGGCAATCCTAGATTTAATTTCACACGAACATCTTCCGTCATCTGTTAACAAGCTACCCAAATATTTAAAACATTTCACATTCTCCGGTTGTTTTTGGTCTATCTTTATTGTGACTGGGGTTGGTTGTCTCGAAATTTTCATTACTTATGTTTTTTCCACATTCATTTGCATGCCATAGCACCTTCCAATTTCGATTAGTCTGTCAATCATACCCTGTAGCACAGTTTCTTCCTTAGCCACTAACACAAGGTCATCTGCATATTTCACAGTTTGTTTATCTTATATGTGTCATTATTTTTATGTGCCTGTAGTGTTTTATCTATATATTGTGTAATAGGAAAACAGATAATTTTGATAATTTGAGGAGGTACTGTTAATCAACTGGGACATAACTGAAGGTAACAGTCGTTTCATTTTAAGAGCTGTTGCTTCATTTGTCAAGTTTTAGCTCTTAAGAAGCGATGAAAGACTGCTAGCATTGGCTGAAGCACTATTTGTATTTAGAAAATCAGTTACTCAATACAGATACATATGTGTGGTGTAGTTACATAATTCAAAGAAGCAAGAATGGTTGGTTAAGGGCTGGCTTAGTTCTGAAAGAGAAAGATGTGGTGTACTTAAACTGTACACTGTGCTAAGCATGAGGATAATTGAAAGGTGTCTTAAATTGTTTGTGCAACTAAAAGTCATATGAGAAAGATAATTTATCGCTAAGGGATCCACTGTTATGTAAGTTTTATGAAGTTAACAAGAAGAAAACTATTTACAAGATTGAGGCAGGCAGATATTTCTTGTTCTGGACATGAGTTTTCAACAGTAGGTCCTATCCTGTCCATGCTGAGCTCAGTGGTTTTCTAATATCGGGTAATATGCTTAGGTCATGTAGTAGTCCACTAGCACAGGCTGCCATTAGTGTTTCCTTTTATGATGCATCTAGTCAATTTCCTTTGTCCAGTAAACAGGAGGCCTCATGCTTCAGGGAGCTATACATATTGAGTTGAAAGTTCGCATTCGAAATGCAAAATTGAAGTATGTCACATACAATTTTACTTATCCATGTACATGTTGGATCACATGGACTAGGAAGACGGAATCACATAGGTCAAATGCTTATTGACTTTTGTGAACGAAATGGATTGATTGTTACCAACACTTGGTTCAAGAAGCCAAAGAGAAGAATTTACACATGGAAGGCACCTGGGGATTGGAAGAGGCATCAGCTGGACTACATCCTTGTGAAACATCGATTCAGAAACAGTGTGAAGGATGTGAAGACGCTTCCTGGGGCAGACATTGACTCTGACCACAACTTGCTGGTTGCCAAGTTCCGAACCAGGTTGAAGAAAATTATAGGATTTCGAAAGCGCAGACCCAGATGGGATTTGGAGAAGTTATATGCTCAAAGACAAAGCGTGCAAGAGACTCTAGAAGAGAAACTCGGTGCAATTGAAGGTGAAAGCGGAAATGCTGAAGCGCAGTGGAACGATATAAAAGAATGCATGTTAGATACTATCAGTGATTTGGTAGGTAAAGTTGAGAAGATAGCAAGAAAACCATGGGTTACACAGGAGATGATGAGTAAAATGGAGGAGCGAAGGAAATGGAAGAATGTCAACAATGAAGAAGGCAGGAGGAAATACAGGAGACTGAGGAATGAATTGAAAAGAGCCACGGACAGGGCCAAAAAGGAATATCTTGAGAAGATATGTAATGAGATTATGGAATTTCAAAGAACAGGCCGTTATGATTTGATGTACATGAAGACAAAAGAACTAGGATGGAAAGAGAATCATGGGATTCAAAATGTTGGCATCGAAGACTCCCAGGGGAATAGAATAGTAGATCAGAGGCAAGTGCTGAAAATTTGGGAAAATTATATTTCAGAACTATATGATCGACCTAATCGGCCAGAAACCTTAGAAGTTGAACCGGAAGAAGAAGTAGATACAGACGAGAAAGGACCATATATTTTACAAAGTGAGGTGGAAAAAGCTATCAAGGAAATGAGGAAGGGAAAGGCTACAGGAGATGATGATGTACCTGGAGATGTGCTCAAGTTACTGGGAGAAGGTGGTTTGAAAACACTGACAAAACTAATGAACACCATATATGAAAGTGGAGAGTGGCCCAAGGACTTTACAGAAGTTACAATGATTGCCTTAAAGAAAAAGACAAAAGCTACAAAATGCAGCGACCATCGCACAATAAGTCTTATTGCACATACAGCAAAGATAATAGCAAAGATACTTAAAAGAAGAATTGAAAGGAAAATAGAGGATGTACTTGGAGAAGATCAGTTTGGATTTAGAAGAGGAAAAGGAACCAGGGATGCAATTGGGATGATGAGAATTATAGCGGAACGAACTTTGGAGATAGATGAAGAACTGTGTGTTTGCTTCATAGACTGGCAGAAGGCATTTGACCGGGTAAACTGGACCAAATTAATGCAGATCCTGAAAGAAACAGGTATCGATTGGCATGAAAGAAGATTGATTAGCAAATTGTACATGGATCAGAAAGTTAGAGTACGACTGGACAGGGGGGAGACAGGAAGTGTGCAGATTGGAAGAGGAGTTCGACAAGGATGCTGTTTATCACCAATTCTGTTCAACTTGTACAGCGAATGCCTTACCAAGGAAGCTCTGGATGGGCTCGGTGACTTCAAAGTAGGAGGGCAAATTATTCAAACTGTGAAATATGCAGATGACCTTGTGTTAATGGCTAAGGAAGAAACTGTGCTACAGGGCATGATTGATAGACTAATTGAAATTGGAAGGTGCTATGGCATGGAAATGAATGTGGAGAAAACAAAAGTAATGAAAATTTCGAGACAACCAACCCCAGTCACAATAAAGATAGACCAAAAACAAGTGGAGAATGTGAAATGTTTTAAATATTTGGGTAGCTTGTTAACAGATGATGGAAGGTGTACTTGTGAAATTAAATCCAGGATTGCCATGGCAAAAGCTGCATTTAGCAAGAAGAAGAATCTTTTTACCAGCAAATTGGACTTAAATTTGAGGAAGAAACTAGTGAAATGCTACATTTGGAGCATAGCTCTGTATGGGGCTGAAACATGGACACTTAGGGCAGTAGATCGGAAACATCTGGAAAGTTTCGAAATGTGGTGTTGGAGAAGAATGGAGAAGATCAGTTGGACCGATTATGTGAGAAATGAAGAAGTGTCATTTAGAGTCAGTGAGCAGAGGAATATCCTACACGAAATAAGAAAACGGAAGGCTAATTGGATTGGTCATGTCTTATGCGGTAACTGCCTTCTAAAAGAAGTTATTGAAGGAAAGATAGAGGGGCAGATAGAAGTGACCAGAAGACGAGGAAGAAGACGTAAGAAGATGCTGGATGACCTTGGGGACAGAAGAGGATACTGTCATTTGAAGGAGAAAGCTCTAGATCGCATTAAGTGAGGAATTGTTTTGAAAGATACTGTGGACCTGTTGTCTTGACAGATTACTGATGATGATGATGATGATGATGTACATAACTAACTGACTTCAAGGAGCGTAGCCGTTCTTGGGAAGTCACCTGTTGCGCTGCTATTCAAGAACTTCCCAGCATTTTATGGAACCTGAAAGTTCATTACTGCGTTCACAAGAGCCCTCCACTGGTCCCTATCCTGAACCAGATCTATCCAGTCCGTACCACCCCATCCTTTCTCTCTAAGGTCCATTTTAATATTGTCCACCCACCTACTTCTTGGTCTTCCAAGTTGTCTCTTTCCTTCTAGCTTTCCAAACCCTGTCTTTCATGCATTCCTCATCTCCCCCATTTATGCTACATGCTCAGAACATCTGATCCTCCTTGACTTGATCAGTCTAATTACTCTTGGCAAAGAGTATAAGTTATGAAGCTCCTCATTATGCATTTTTCTCCAACCTCACGTCACCCTCCACGTGCATCAAAGCCGAGAACAAGTCATATTGAAGAAAATGCGAAAAAAGTGACCGAAATCTTTGCATCAGACAGATGTGTTTCTTCAAGATTCATCAAGGAGCTTTTGGGAATAACAAAAAGTACTGTGCATCAGATTTTGACTGGGGATTTGGGCAACCGGAAGGTCTGTGGACGGTTTGTACCGCATGCACAGTCAAGCGATGAAAAACATGCCAGAGTGGAACACTGCAATGACATGTTACGGTCGGCCCAAAGTGATACAAAATTTACAAAATCGATGGTTACTGGTGATGAGACATGGTGTTTTCAATATGAGCCTCTCACAGAGCGGCAGAGTGCAGCGTGATTGAGCCCAAAGAAGCCGAAACCAAAGAAAGTGTGCATGCAAGAATCAAGTAAAGATACTGCTAACCGTTTTCTCCGATTCACAAGGATTTCTGCAAGTAGGTCAAACAGTGAATTCTGATTATTATCTCGGAGTCCTCAATTTTTTGTGGGCTAGAATTTTTCGAATTTGACCTGAATATCGAGAACAAGGTTCCTGGTCGCTCCTCCATGACAATGCTCCACCCCACAAATCGAAGATCATGCGCGATTTTTTTGGCCAGAAAATGGATCACAGTTCTTGATGATCTTCCGTATTCGCCAGATTTGGCTCCATCAGCTTTCTGGTTGTTCCCAAAAGTTAAGTTGGCGATGAAAGGAGACCGTCACGACACCATCCAGGACCTCCAAAGGGAATCTACCGCAGTTTTAAATGTGATTCCACAAAAGTACGGTGACTGTTTTCGAAAACTTTTCAATCTATTTCAGCTGTGTATTGATTCAGAAGGAGACTGTTTTGAATAAAAAGAGTGAAATTTTGAGAATAATTCAAGTCTTGTATGTTTAATGAACAGAGTCCTAACAGAACCTGGGCACACTGTGTACGCCCAGGTTCTGCTGGCCCCATCCATCAATCAAATTTGAATGGGAAGTAAACCCTGAACAGCTCATTCAGTGTCCCTTTCCAGTTCAGGTGTACTTACAGTCAGGTAGCTTGGTAGTACTAACCTTGTTGATCGCCTGCGTTGCCACGATCTTCATGATTCTGGTACCACCCGGTAGATCATTGATCTGTCAGTACTTCCTCCATGAAGATCGTTTGGCTTTCCTTATTTCTTTAGTATAACAGGTGAGGGTTTCCTTATAGGTGTCCCATTGCCCTGTTCTTTTCGCTATATTAAATAGCTTTCTTGTTTTAGCTCTCAGCCTGGTCAGCATTGTATTCCGCCAAGGTGTGTTCCTTGGTGAGCGAGTGGTCTTGGTTGGACAGTTTTGATAATAGGATAAGATTATGGCTGGTTGACGAATTTCTTCATTCCTCTCTACAGCTCTACTCCGGTCATCTGAGGGAGTGGGTATCTCATCCCCGTCCCCCTCAGAGACCGATTTCGAGGATGCTGTATCTAGTGCAGCTTCTTTTTGATACTGTGCTTCGGGACCTTTCAGGACCTTGTGACATCGGCTCATATCCGTGGTTTCTATGTGCGCACTTCTCCTGTTAACTGTCTTTCCCCCTCTCTCCTTCCTTGCTGAGCTGGCTTAGCGGCCTACGGAGTGGAGCTAGAGGCTCTTGACTTCCCAACCGTCGAAGGGGTAGGTCGTTTTCGTTTTGGACCTCTGGTCGAGGCCATCGTCGGCTATCCAAATTTACTCTTCTACATGGTATTGAAATTTAGAAAAGCGAACTCTGCAATGATCTTGTAACAGGTATTTACATCATGTTTTGTATTTTTCTTTATCCATATATTTATTTTTTGCTGTTATTTGACTTGGTTATTTGTGTTGGGTATTTCCGCCTTGCTCATTTCTTTATCCTATCTCGGCTCTTCTTAGTCTGTTCTCACGAGAACCTATATAGACTAGAATGATCCCACGCTACAACCTTAAGAGTTCCCTGTGAGATTCCTGTAAAGATTTTATGTCCGGTCTTCCTTATGGTAGTATAAGAGTACCGGTCTGTGAGTAAGATAGGCCTCTGGCCTTTCGGGTCAGATTGCTTATCGAGTACCCTCCAGTGCTCCGTGCGGAGTCCCAGATTTCCGTTCTTAGGTAGGCTCCTTTCATCAGTAGCCTTTAGCCTGGTCCCTGATTCCAGCCTGTGACTGTCAATAGCTTTGATGAGCCACTGAGCAGACTGTTGGTCGGCGCATATATAAATGCACTTCCTTTCAGTCTGTAGGACTTAAGGTGTGGTATTTCTCCTATTGGATTCCCACGTAACACCTCCCCTGCTACTTCCATGATGCATTTCTGGTCATCTTTCGTTAGCTTGTCTTCAGGATATGTTTCCCTAAAGATAGCTACCTTTATGTTGGTCATAGCCTCCTCGTAAATCTCTGGACCTCTACAGTCCATGGTCCTCATTGGAGCTCTGGCCGTTTCAACAGGGACACTACCGTCCGACCTTGGCCTCTTAAGGGTTTCGTTAGGGGCTGCTCCCTGCTTGGGCACGCCTGCGTTTCCTGGTTGTTGAATGATCCCAGATCCTGCCTCGCTTGCCCTAGCTCTTGCCCTTTTTAATTCCCATCTGGCGCATCCAGTCTCTCTTTGGTTTTAGGTCCTTAGGAGAGTTTTTTTTTTTAATTTGGTCTCCGTAGTGGTCCCACAAGTCACGGGAATTTAGAAGGTCGCCACCCGCAGCGCCCCACACGAGTGGAAGGCATGAATACAGCGGGGTGCTGCCTGGTGCCCCGAAGGGGTCGTTCACGACACCGGCTAATAACCACCACAGTGCCACGCAGCCGTCTGCACGATGCCTCACATCTTGACTTAAGTGGGTTTGTCCTGTTGAGAAGAACAACCCTCACGAGCCTCCAGGACCATTGCACGTTCGGAGGAAGGGGGTATCCCAGATTATCAATGGGATTGCGACACCAGCTAATCATGAGGTTACGACGAGGGAAACCTACGTGAAAAAATCGCCCCTGGGGTAGCCTATAAGACCCGCTCATTCCAACCCCTCCACATGGGTTAGTTAACCATTTTAGAGTGTTGAGCCCAAAGGCATGCGGCACCTTATCGGTACTCTAGGGAGACAGCTCAAGTGGCAGAAGCTACTCCCATACGAGAGCTCTCCCACATTCGTCACAGAAAAACAATAGTAATACCAATGATCCATCGTGTCGCTGCGTGAGAGGCTCCGGTCGTAGAACGCCATTGTCCTTTACGGGAACTTAGCCGCCAGTCCCTGCTAGTCATACTGATTCAGACCCCGAGACCGTCGTTGCCCAGTGGGAACCACGATGTGTTCCAAAGCTGTGTCCCAGCGCACCCCGTGGTCCATGATGCACACCCAGCAGAGACACAGCCGTGAAGTACGGCTCATTGAGGATGGCGTCATTACTACCGGCAACATCCGATCTTAAGAAGGTCACAGTTACTCCCGCAAACACGCTGAATACTTTCTGTAATATGTAAGAGCCCATCTTTCTCATTGAGACACAATATTTTACACTTTGGTTATCTTAACCATCTTCTTAAGAACTATAAATGAAATTTAAAGGCAATTGTTTCATGGTATAAGACTTCCTTTTACTTCGGAACGCCATGCTTTAATATTCGATTTACCTAATGAAAAGGGAATACAAATTATTTATTTCGTTATTAAGATACTGTAGCATGTTTATTATCAAATACAATTATTATATAAAATACACGAAGCTCAAGAGGTGACCAAGTTTGATGATGTTTTATTGCCAATTTGCCGACTCCTTTCTTTGCAACAATTATTGATAGATTATGCAGAATTGTTAACCCGGTTTCATCTGTATTCGGTATTCTTTCATGTGGAATAGGTCCAGAACGGTTATACATATAGTCCAGATCATTAAAGGAATTGCCAATAGTAGTTATCTTCAAGATTTTTAATTTAGTTAAAGTAACAGTATCTTCTTACAAATAGTTGCATCCATTTATCCTTCGGCAATATGCTTTTAATCTCATTTCCTAGGTATTTCTCTCTGCTTGCAATTGCATGCTGGAACGCAAGCGCATGAACACCTTGCTTCCATGCAGCATACTGCATTCTTGGAACACTCCACCATACGCCTTCATGGTGTAATGCATAATTATTTAAGCACAGAGACAACTTTATTTTTCTATCTTTATACAATACAAACTTTACATTATGTGCATATTACATAAATCACAACATCTTCATACCTGCAGCAAACAACAAAACCGACCACAGGAATAAAATTATCATGTTAATTACATTTGAGCATCGTGAATATATGGATAACTAAATTGAAAATATATGGCAAAGATACTGCCATTTGGGCGTCGAGAGATAGCTATCCGATTTATACACCAGATATAATAACGAATAAATCAACTTGAGTATGAATCTGAAACCCAAGGAGGATGAGGTGGGCAGGGCATGTAGCACGAATGGGGGAGAAAAGGAATGCATATAGGATATTGGTGGGAAAGCCAGAAGGAAAGAGACCACTGGGAAGACCAAGGTGTAGGTGGGTGGACAATATTAAAATGGATCTTAGAGAGATAGGATGGGATGGATTGATCTGGCTCAGGATAGGGACCAGTGGAAGGCTCTTGTGAACACGTTAATGAACCTTCGGGTTCAATAGACTGCTGGGAAAATCTTGAGTAACTGCAGATTTGGCTTCTCAAGAAGGGCTCAGCTCCATAAGTAAGTAAGTAAGTAAAGAATCATTTCTGTTACATAGTTAAAGAGGTAGATGATTATAAGACGTCCGACTAGCACAACTTCAAGCTGTACATTTGGTATGCATAAAACTGGAATGTTTTTAAATATAAATTAATATAGCGGGAAGAAAATATTCAAATATACCTCTGTTGGAACTGGCTTCATGGAATATTTCTTGCTGCTCGTTGAAAGCGGAGCCTCAGAGAAGAAAGTTTTTGACAGATCATGCTGGCACCTATAATATTTAGGAAGCTGTGACTGCTCCTAAAGAGCTTTGTCGCATACCTTGGGCGAAGAGGAAGGGAAAGAGTTTAGAGAAGGTAGGTAAACTATATAAATTTAGAAGAAATTGATTGTATCTAACTTTATAAATTGCATTCATACTTTAATATTAATGAATGTAAATAAGTTTGATATTCTGTGATTAGTTCGTTTAATAGAGCAAAGTAGTTACCGTTAATTTCCCGAGGGCCATTATGCCTACACGGATTCCTTAGAAAGCTCAACTATAATGGCGGTTTGAAGCTTGCTGAAAGTGGGTAACGAGGCAAAGCTTAACCTGTCGAAATATTTCATTATCAATTTAGGACTATAAATAGCTGTATCCATGTAGATATGAACAACTAGTGGTGCCGGAAGTGTTCGTGATTAATTTAAATAATAAATTATTTTTCAGGTGTAAGCCAAGTTGTAGAATAAAATATGGACCAACAATTCTGTCTCCGGTGGAACAATCATCAAAAGAACCTAACAGACGTACTGAGTGGCTTACTACAAAGAGAAGTTTTAGTAGATGTAACTCTTGCCTGTGATGGTGAAACATTTAAAGCCCACCAGACAATTTTGTCAGCTTGTAGCCCCTATTTTGAAAGTATTTTCCTACAGAACACCCATCCGCACCCAATAATTTTTTTGAGGGATGTGAATTATACGGAAATGAAGGCTCTATTGCAATTTATGTACGAAGGTGAAGTTAATGTAAGCCAGAACTTGCTTCCAATGTTCTTGAAGACAGCTGAGGCCCTTCAGATACGTGGACTTGCTGATAATGCAGTTAGTAATAAAACTTCTGATGACCTACCATCATCAGCAGTGAACTCTCCAGCTAGAAACTCAGAACATCATAGTAGACCTAATAGCCCGCCTCCAGAAAAGAGGAAACGAAAGTCATCTGGAAATTGTGACATATCTGGAGCCACCAGTGATCGTTTTCACTCAGATTCACAGGTATGAAATCATATGCAGTTTTAATATTGTGGGCCAAATATTTCAAGCAACCTGACCTAAAAGTATAGTTGGAATTGTTTGTGTGAACCATTTGGTATAAACTAATGATAATTTTTCATTATTTTGCTAACAATTTTTGATGTAACCATATAATTTTCATGAAGTTACATCTTAGGAGAAAGAGTTTTCATCTCGAAGAGTGCTGACTTCTGGGATAAAATACCATGTACTCCAGTAATAATTTACCGGTGTTTCACAGTAGCTTACTATCTTCATCTTTGGGGTTGACATGGAAGCCAAGTGGGTAGCCAGGAAGAGGCAAGCATGTGGCTGCTTGCTTGGCTTATGTTATCCCATAGATTGAAGCAGTGTGTTCCTCCAAAATATCTGTTAATCTTTACTAGAGAGCACAATGTTACAACCTAGATAATAGTACTTTAATAGTTACTGCTGTGATAATCTCGAATCCAACACTTTTAATTTTGTGATTATTCTGTGGATGTATATAATGATACTGTATTATTTCATATATTTGTTGTATGGAGGTGCCGTAATTGTCAGGTTAATGATAGTTAAGGTATATAGGACTGTGTTTCATATTAGATGGAAAGAATACACTTTTATTCCCATTTATTATCAATTCCAGTTTTAATCAATATTGAGCCATTTTAGGTACAGTGCACTCATTGTTTTCCAGCATGTATGGGAGAATGGGGTTTGCTGGTCATACGAATCCTGTGGTTGCTTGAGATAGTCTAAGAAGTATAATACCAAGTCAGAGCAGGTTTTTTGCTTTAGTTCTTGTGTGGAAGTCTTTCTGCGCAAAAGAAAATGGTTAGGTGAAAAATAACAAAGATGTATAAAAGTTGCCCCTATGCTTAACTAATTAAGCACGACACCATGAAAATATATAGGGCAGAGGATGTATATACGTAGATTCATATATCTTGACCTCAGCAATAGTCGGAGGTGAGTGGTCAGCTGCACCACCTGTTTAACCATTTAGAAGTAGCCTGCTGGGTGGGCCCCAGAACAGGTCTGGATGACAGAGAGGAGAAAAACTTCCCCCTACAAGGACTCAAACTCCAACTCCAACCCCTTGGCTGTCCAACCTGTAGCCATCCACTGTACCAACTGCACTAGAGTAACATAACAAATTAATGTAGGCTGTACTGTAATGATGCCCGTATCGGGGAAGAAAATATGTTATACTGCTAGTGACAGATGAGAGAACCGTTACATGATGGGTGAACATACAGCATGGCGCAAAAAGGTGGGAACTCTTGAAAGTAGGTAAAAAAATACATTTTTTTTTAAATTTAATCAAGGTACTCAATGTGCACTTCTACATTGGAAATTTAAAAATAACTCACAGTTTGAAAATAACATCGCGAAGATGATGTCCATCTTGCCGAATACACTCTGCAAGTCGATCCTGAAAATTGTGCATGGCTCGGAGCAAAGTGTTGGGTTGTATGCTGTGATCTCTTCTGTTATTCGTCTTCTAAGTTCGGCTAGGGTTGTGGGGTGTGTAATGTAGACCACGGTCTTCAAATAACCCCATAAATAAAAGTTACACACTGATAAGTCTGGGGAACGAGGTGGCCAAGCAATGTCGCCGTTTCTGGAAATTACGTGGTTACTGAACAGACGCCTGACCGCTGCCATTGACAGTTGTGCGGTGTGTGCGGTCGCCCTGTCCTGTTGAAACCAAGTGTTTTCGATATCAATGTTCGGTACACTGTGAATTCTTGCAGCAAGAAACGTCTCAAGCATGGTTACATAATGCTCAGAAGTTACTGTCACCGTGTTTCTTGCGATGTCTTCAAAAAAATATGGACCTATCACCCTTTGAGCCGAAACTGCACACCATACAGTGACCTTGGGGCTGTGTAGAGGTCGTTGATGAAGAACAGCACGATTGCTTCACGAAACTGTCGGCGCAACAAATGGTCATTAGGTTTCAGTTCTTGCACCAGTTGCAGTTTATAGGGATGAAACTTGAGTTCATGGAGTATTCTCTGAACAGACCGACGACTTACAGTCACTGCCGCTGCGACTTTCCGTACTGAGCGATGTGGACTTCTCAAGACGGAGGCTTGCACGGCTTCGACATTTTCCGGAGTCCAAGCACTTCCTGGATGACCAGAAGACTTTCTCTTTCCCACTGAACCAGTCTCTTCAAAATTTTGAACCCTCGTTCAAATTGCATGTTTAGATGAAGCGTGGAATATATGCATGTCGTAACAGGAAATGTCCTGTTTACCTCTAACACAACAGGTTTCCCGTTGCCAGTCTAATTAAGATAAGCGGAAGAAACACGCTGACACTCCAGCCGTATATGCCTGTACTGAGTCCCGGTCCGATACACCAGACAAGTTTACACTCCAGAAAGCAAGCAAGAAGGAATACTAAGATAATCTCCGATATCAGCACTCTAGTCGTAATGTCCACACTGTTTCCTTCTGTCACTCCGCACGGACCCGCTTGAGTGGGATGGCAGTGGAACCCGTATGAGGTTCCCTGACTTATAATCTCTAATCCGATATCAAACCCAACTACCATTTGTCTCCAGGAAAGTCAGCTCCGTCCTTCCCATGTGTTAAACCGTTGTGGTTATTTGAACCACCGCAGGACGAACGGAGGGACAGCCGTTTTAGCACTATATGTATTCCGCTTCTCTAAGCCTGCAAGGTTGAAATGTCGCCTAAACTCCTGTAAGGCCTCAACCAAACTGTCGCCATATCGATAATAAGCCCACATGGCTACTACGCGTTCTTGAACATTCCACTGTTCCGTGGCTACTAAACCTCTGGTGCTACTCTACAACTTACCACCCTCCCCACATTTCTCCTCCCCTCACACTGCTGCCAACATCACATTCAAAAGTTCCCATCTTTTTGCGCCTCCCTGTACATTCATCACAAATTTGTTTTTGAAAATCTTAGTGAAAACGGTAAATTTTCTCTGAAAGTTTTGTAGTTTGGACAAGAGTTTCAAATATTTTTGTACAGATAATGAGGTGTTTACTACATAATTTTTAATTTTCTGTGTGATTCAACTTTTATAATTTGTCTCTTCAACTTGTTCTAAATTCCTCACTTTCCATTTTTGCATTGTCCTCACAAAATTTAGACAAATGATTAACATTATGCTATACTATATACAACATAATGCAAGTAGTGAAGTTAAAGGTCACCTTTCATGCTTAATGCATTAAAATATGCAGTGTATCTTTCTAAATATTTGTTTCCATCACTTTTCAACTACCAGTCAGCAGCAGCCAAATTCTAGTAGTGAGTACTACCAGCTCATCACATTGAGTTTATAGATTCATACTGTAGGAGGAATGAATACAACTTACCTATTAATATATTCAGATTTTGTGGTTTGAGTTCTGTCACATTTGCTTCAGTCTGTTTTGAAATGCCAGTCTCTTGTTCTAGATGTCTCAGTTACTGTTACGCTGAATATTGTAGCTGAGCACCCTGTTAGTCTACTCCGTCATCAGTAAGCATATGGCATTTTTAATGGGTTTCTTGTCCAGATGTGACCCACTAGACCTCACCAGTTACTGAATTCATGTGTAGCACTTGTACTTGAAATTGTGACCCATGGAGGTTTGTAGAAGCATTTTCTCAGACACTTGTTATCAGGTCCATTGTGAATTCTGCAGCTGAAGCAAGAGTAGGTACTACAAAACCATAACATATTAGCTAAATATAGTGCGTCATGAAAGGTAGTCTGGGAATCAAGGATTGACCATGTGAGAACCTGAGATATTAGGCATCAGTCAAAGTAATAGAACAGGTGAGTGCATGCAGGTCAGGCTGGGACATGAATGTCACCCAAACTGATCATAAGAATACCAAGCAACACCTTTCCTAAAGGGAGGATTGAAGATTACATAAAAAGTAGCAAGATTCACACCCTGGAGGAAAGAGGTGTGCGGAATAATACAGAGGAGGAGGAGGCAGGCAAGGAGAAGCCTTTCTGGGCAAAAGCACGACTGAACATTCTCATGTTAGCATGAATCATTTCAGTAGCATGTTTTATAATGCTTGGCCTAAGAGAGTCTGGACTGCTATTGGGCTGAACCTCTACCAGTTTAAATTACAGTAGAACTTGGTTATAACGTCATCAAAGGGACCTAAAAATAGTGTCGTTATAAACGAATGTCGTTGTAACCGAAATGGGCACTTCCACAGTAGCCTTATGTTAGTCACGTAAAAATCTACCAAAAACCGAGTTAAAATGTTGCATTTTTTTACTGAAATACGTAGTTAAGTACAGACTAACGTAACAGTGTGGAATTGCCCAAATGTATAATATCAAAGACATATTACAGCGCTTTTCACTGACAACACACACCGCACTAATACTGTATATTAAAGGTAGGCCTACTCACCAAATTACAGTAGATTACATCAATTGTTGTGCCTTACTGTACCTAGATACGAGTACAGTAATCAGTTATCTTCATCTGTTTCCTGTTACTT